TGAGGAAATGAAAGGGAGGGAGAAAAATCAAAGAATGTCAGAGTTTCATGTTCCAGGTCTGCAGCAATTATTTCCATTTCATTTGTGGTTTTCTTAACCGTCTTGTTATGTGGATTTTAATTTTGGTCATTTTACAAATGAAGAAAAGGAGAGTCAGAGACATTATAAAATGTATCCAGAGTTACACAAGTGAATACTTGTCTACCATTAGTTCATTTACTTTCTCTAACAATTGGATAAATGAATTATGTGACCCAAAGTATTATGTGGCACATTCTTTATTTATTTATACATATATTCTATGCCTTCTGCTACTAGAACTTGAAGCCAGAGGTTCTGTGTTGCTGAATGCTGTATACCAATGCTTCAAATTACGTAAGATAAATAGTAGCCATTCAGTAACTACAAGGGGTCTTCAACAAGTTTATGAAAAATTACATTACTTTTTGATTCCACTTTAGATAAGCTTTTAGTAGTTCTCGTGTAATTTGTAATGTACACAATCAAATAAGCCATGGAGCTGCTACTGAAAACTGAGAACCTGCAAGTCACATTTTCTTACTTGTCTCATCTTTTTTATTGGTTATAGTCTTTTTTCATTGGTTATCTGAACCCCTATATGTGTCTAAACATTCCAACCAATATTCAAAATATAAATATGAGAAGTTTGTACAAGTGGGCACTCCATAATGCTTATGTATAGAAGATGCTGACACAATCTATAGTCACCTAAAAATAATCATTCTGAGAAATGGCTTTTTTATTTTCCTGCTCAATTTCTTAACTGCCATTTCTCTAAAGCAATTATAACTGAATCTCTCAATTTGATTAAACATAATGTTTACTTCCAACCACTATAACCTCTTCCCAGGACTCAGAAATATGTACCCCTCAGTAGTGTATGCATTTGGTATCCTTTTTAGCTTATGTAATTCTGTGAGGACTGTATTTTATTACTTATTATGCACTTAACTGAATAAATAATGGTCAAAGAAGAAAGTTTAGTCTGTGCATGGTGGTATGATATTTTACCACCAGTTGTGTGTTAGTTGTGTTTTGTTTTGTTTGAGGCTTGTGGATTGCTGTGAGGCTGAAAGCTGTGTCCCTGGTATTTCAAATACAAGTAGTGTCACCCATAGTGATAAGATTTCAGCAGAACTTGCAGATTAATACCATTTGTGATGCTTCAACAAATGGATGCAACATTGAAACTGTACATTGATTTATTCCTAGAAATTTAGAAAACAGCTGCCTGGCTAACCAACTGGAACACATCATATTCATACCCATTTCAAAGAAAGCTGATCCAGTGGAAAGTGGAAGTTATTGAACATCATCATTAATGTCATATGAAAGTAAAATTTTGCTGAAGATAATTCAGAAACAGTTGCAGAGTACATTAACATGAGACTGCCAGAAATTCAAGTCACATTTAGAAGAGGGCATTGAAGGAGATATTTCATTACTGGTAGCAGATGGATCCTGGTTGAAATCAGAAACTATTGGAAATAGGTTTACTTGTGTTTTATTGACTATGCAAAGATATTCCTGTGGGGATCACAGCAAAATATGGATAATGTTGCAAAGAATGTGAATTCTAGACAAGTGTGCTTATGTGGAATCTGTATATAAACCAAAGGCATCCATTCAAACAGAGTAAAGGAATACTGTGTGTTTCAAAACTAGGAAAGGTAAATCTTTTAACATATGTATTCAATTTTATGCTAAGAAAATAATCAGAGAAACTGGTCTCTATGAAGAAAAATGTGACATAATTTAACAATAAATCATTAACATTCTGAAGTGTGCAGGTGATGCAGCCTTTCTTGCTGAAAATGAAGAGGATTTAAAGCATTCATTGGTGGAAATCAAAGTCTATATATAGCCTTCACTATGGATTGCACTTTCATATGAAAAAAAAATCCTGACAATTAGAGCAAGATAATGAAAATGGAGACAATATAAAGTCATGGATTTCATTTTACTTAGATCCGCAATCAACATCCATGGAAGCTGCAATCAAGAAATCAAATGGCATAGTGCATATTGGGCAACTTCACTGCAAAAAGACCTTTTTAAAGTTCTAAATGGAGTCCTGGTGTGGCGCTTAGGGTTAATGTGCTGGACTGCAAGGTAGACTTGAACCACATGGTGGGCAGTTAAGTGCCCCATCTGCTCCATTGAAACCCTTTAAGGGTCACTATGGTTTGGATCTTAACTCAAGCACACTTAGTAACAACACCAAAATGCTTGTGAAAACTGAATAATGAGTGAAGGAGTCCAAAGAAGATGCATTTGAATAAGGGTATTGGCGAAGGTTAATGATTGTATTTTGCACTGCCCAGAGCCCTAGTATGGCACTGCAGGATAAGAACTGGACCACAAGATCAATTTGAATCACAAGTTTAGCAGTTCAAACTCACTAACCGCTCCTTGGAAATCCTATACAAGGTTGCTGTGGGTCATAAAGGACTTGACAACCCTTAATAATGACAACAAATGCACTGCCAGAAGAAAGAACAAATCTGAACGTTCCTTATAAGGAAGGATGGTGAGACTTCAGCTTACTGACTTTGGACATACTGTTACTAGGGAGCAGTCTCTGGAGGACATCCTGCGTGGTAAAGTAAAATGTCAGTGAGAAAGACACCCAGTTAGATGGGTGGGCACAGTGACTGTAAGAATCAGCTCAAATATAACAATCCTTGTATGGATGGTATGGGGTCAGGCAGTGTTTCTTTTGATTGTGCATGAAGTCAGTATATATTGGAACCAAGCTAACCTCACTTACCAACAAAAAAGATATTTCATCTCCAAAAGAGGGTTCTGGCCTTCGATGTGTATATGCTGTATTTACAAAATGTTGTTGTTAAGTGCCATAGAGTTGGTTCCGACACATAGCAGCCCCGTATAGGGTTTCTGAGGAGCAGCTGGTGAGTTTGAACTGCCGACCTTGCAGTTCAAACAGCTTTGCAGTCTGGCACATAAACCCACAACACCACACCAGGACTCCCATTTAAGTAGGGCTTAATGTCTTTAATATGGCGTCCTGGTGTGGCACTGTGGGTTAATGCGCCAGACTGCAAAGCTGTTTGAACTGCAAGGTCGGCGGTTCAAGCTCACCAGCTGCTCCTCCTAAATCCTATACAGGGTCGCTATGGGTTGGAACTGGCTCGACAGCACTTCACAACAACAGATATCTTTAATATAGGAGCTCTGGTAGCGTAGTGGGTACGAATCGGGCTGCTAACCTCACAGTCAGCAGTTCAAAACTACCAGCTGTTCTGAGGGAGAAAGATGAGTCCTTCTGCTTCCGTAAAGATTCACAGCCTCAGAAACCCTGTACAGGGTTGCTACCGACTCCACAGCACATAACAGCAACAACAAATGTCTACTCTGCAACTAGAAACCACTGCCCTTTGAGTGTTATGCATGCTTTTAATGCTACATATTAGTGTTTTGTCAATGGACTGTATGCAAGGATTTACAGCCTCTTATTACTGTACAGAATGCAGGTTCCTTCTCTTCTTAAAAAACTTGTTTATCAAAGTTCACAGGCATTTTATTTTTGCACATATGTCCAGACTTTTTTCCAATGATAGCTTTCATTTTTATGATTTGTTTTTTTTTATTACTTTTTGTCTCAAATTTTTGTACAAGGGAGCTTGTCTTAGGCCAGTTTTCTAGAGAAGCAAAGCCAGTGAAACGTATATATGAAACATATGAAGAGAAGTTTATTATCAAGGAAATGACTTACAATTGTAGAGTCCCAAGTCCCCAGTTGAAGACAGAACTTTTCCTGCATGCCCACTATAGTGGAAGCAGGCCACCCCCCTGCTCTCCCCACCCCACTAGCAAAGATTGCAGAGAGTGTAGTGTTGACCCTTGCTGACTAGATAATGTGTAAATGAAGGATGTAGCAAAAGTAATTTTGAGTGAATGAATATAATGGAGGGTGTAGAGAAATGAGTCATTTGTATGGTGTGTGGAATATTAATTACATCTACATCTGGAATGATAGAAATTTTCTTTCTGTAACAGTGGTCATATATATAAAGATAGATAGCACATTATCAGAAGTTAATGTGATGAACACTGTGTTCGTTAGAAAGAACAAGATCAGATCACAAATCTACTCTGGACCGTGGCTCCTGGATGTCACCTAACTGGAGGCAGTATAGCACTTAATTCCAGTCATGGCAACAAGGCAGAACTGTTAAAGGACAGTTCTTCTCAGGGCTCATCTCCTAAACTGGCATCCCTTGTGTTACTTTGGAGGTAATTTGGGGTCAAAAACAATGACTAGTTATTGTCAGAGTTGAAAAATGCATACTTTAGATTCTGCCTGAATTATGATAACCATTTTTTTAAAAATCATTTTGTTACATGTAAACATTTCTCCTTATTTTTGCCTATTCTCTTCTGAAGATGGTGATACTGGCCTAAACCTATAGCTAAGATGATTGATCTTCATATTCAATCCTGAATTAGCAGTTTTTGAGTCTGGAATGAGCAGCAAGGATAAGAGTGACAATTTGAGCCAAATTGTGCCAATCTTCATTTATAAAGTGAGCAGTATGACTAAATGAATTTTAGATAAAGTTCATCTCAGAGTCTAAAAGTTACCATTATTTTTCAAAAGAACTGAAGAGGAAACAAAGCACAAGAAGAAAATAGACAATAATAATGCTCTTCCTCATCATTCTTTAAAACCATCTTAATCTTCCTGTTTCTGTAAAATCATTTTTTCATGTATTCTCTTGCTTTCCTAGCCTCACCTTTTTGCTGTCTTTGATGAGCGCACTGTTGTCTTCTATTCTTCTACTTTTGGTGTTCTCGGTCTTCTATCTATATTTCTTTTCATCATCCTTATTTAAATAAAAAACAAAAAGTTTATTTTTCTGTAATGATGATTAGCTTAGCCTACTTCATTGAGGCCCAGTAGATGAAGAATCACTCATGATCTGCTGCTCAATCATTCATTTTCTCTGTTTTTCAAGGGTCGTAAGAGTGAGGCTGAAAAGTTCTTCTTGAAGGCTATTGAGCTGGATCCCACCAAAGGAAACTGTTACATGCATTATGGTGAGTGGTTGATAGTTTTTTCCATGTTGCCCACATTAACTATTAATATTGACATGAAATTTAGATTTTGTAAAAACTACCTTTGGAAAAGAGATTGACTTTGTTGTTGTAAATTTAGCCTCATAATATATTCATACCTTCCAATTCAAAATAACCCCTTCAAAGAAGGCTACCCATTATAGTTTCCTTGCACAATTTTTATAGAACTTCAATGGGGAAGCTATTTCACAGTTGTTTCATTTCAAAATCAGTGTGTAGTTTAAATGAAATCTCACCAGGACAGCATCTAGCACGATGCCTGATGCATGGTACATAATAATCTAAATGTTAGCTCCCATTTTATCCTAAATGATGAAGTACTGCTCATTGAGCATACCATTTTGAAGTTTTAGAGGTTTTTATGTTGGTCTCAAAATCTTGCTTTCTAAAGATATGGTTGTACACTAGCCTTTAAATATGTATGATTGAGTTCTAGGATAAGTTGGAAAGAGTATAAAGCGTAGCTGTCTCATTTAGTTTAGCCTTGGCCTTAATCAATCCAGAATGAGTGTACATAACAACTCAGCCTCACTCTGCTATATCATTAGTAATGAGTCATGTGTTAACTGAAGCGAAGTATATAGCTGATTTGTTGTTTGGTAAGATGTGCTTATTTCTGCCAGATTTACTGTTGGAATGACTTTTAAAGAGCCAAAGGCATTTGCTTATTGTAATCTTGGCCCAGGACTGAGCAGTGTTTCATTCTTTTGTGCATAGGGTCGCTATGAGTCGGTACAACAACAGTCTCCTGAAAAAAATATACAGTGATTTTCTCATGTGATTTTTGTTTTGATTTGTTGTATGACTGTTGGATTTGATATGTTAGTTATGATCAAGTGGTAAACTTAATGGTAGATGGAAATTTTAAATCTTGAGGAAATAAAATGACTATGCTTGTTGTAAAGTGCTGTGGAGTCAGATTTGACTCATAGTTATCAGCCTTCCAAGGAGTGGCTGCTAGGTTTGAACAGTCAACCTTGTTAGCAGTCAAGTGCTTATCCTACAGCTCCACTTCATGACTCCACTAACTGGGAGAAGGAATTATAGTTATGTAATGTTTGATTCCTTTTCTCAGTTTCCAGCTAGTAAAAAGCGAAATCAGTGACAGGTTGTAAGTGTGAAGGAATGGGAATAATAAACTAGAGGATACACTTAAGCAACCACAAATCCTTTATTTATTTACATTATTGTGAGGGTATTTACAAACCTAGAATTGTGATGCTGTAGTGTTCCAGCATAATGCAGCATGTAATTTTGCACAACTCATTGCATAACCTGATTGTGTTTCACAGTCCAGTTTTATTGCCATGTCCAGATAGAAGCTGACTTGAATTTAAATTTGCTGCAGAGTTTAGTTTTGCATGTTCACTTAAAATATTTTACATTTGGATTTTCTCATGCCTTCTATTTTGCTTATTTAGGAAAGGTACTTTGGTGGAGTGATTGGTTAAATATAGAGCTGCTAACCATAAGGTTGGTAGTTCAAACCCACTGGATGCTCCTTGGGAGAACGATGAGGATGTCCTCATAAAGATTTATAGTCTCAGAAATCCTAAGGAGCCATTGTTCTCAGACCTGTAGGGTCACTGTGAGTTGGAACCAGCTCAATGGCAGTAGATACTTTAGAGGAAGTTCCGTGATTAAAGTTCCCTCATATTAATAGGCCTCTTGTCATGGCAGTCTGTGAAATAAGATTTTTTTCCCCTATGTTGCTGCTTGATTTTCCTTTGGCTCACACTAAGATATGTCTGCTTACCACATCTTCTATGCTATTTCTTGTAATTTTATCTTATACTTTAGTTTTTTCATAATAATGCTATCATTGCTACATTTAAAGCTACATTTGAAGAAAAAAAAAACCACTATTATGCTATTAGTTGGGAATCTTGGTATGGCACTGTAGGATAAGCAATGGACTGCTAACCTCAAGGTTGGAGCTTCAAACCCACCAGCCGCTCCTTGGATATCCTATACAGGCCTGTTTTGTGTTGGAGGTGACTCAATGACATTTAACAACAAAACAACAAAATATTATTAGCTGACCCCTTATTATTTGACTTGACCATTTCTACCTATTTCATTCATTTTCTTTATTATTTGTATATCATTCTCCTGATTTCCCCCCAATGGTCGTATTAGTACTTGTACAGTGGTGTTAGATAGTCATTGTATTTCTCACAAGAGACATTTTTAGATTTCGTTTGAAATACAACTGAAAATAACAAGAAATACTTTGTTCAATACATTATTGAGGAAGAGTGATCACACATATTTTAAAAAATGCAAACAGACTCTTTTTTATACCCCTGGATAATTTTAATCCTATTTTCGCTTACACTACTAGAAGTACATTTATTTTCTAAGAAAATAGTGATTGTATATTTCATTCTAATTATGTTCTAGTTTCAACATTGTGTTTGCTTGTTTGTTTTGCCTCCCACTATGGGCAGTGGGAAATGGAAAGGACTCAAATAAGGCATCAAGAAAAAGAGGTGGGATTTAGACAAAATTATCTAAGGCGCTCTTAGTGTAGTGGTTATGAATTGGGCTGCTAACTTCAGGGTCAGCAGTTTGAAACTACCAACTGTTCCACAGGAGAAAGATGAGGCTTTCTGCTCCCATAAAGATTTACAGCCTTGCAAACCCTGTACAGGGTCACTATGTGTCAGAACCTACTCCATAGCACACAACAACAACAACAACAACAACCTACAAGTTGATACAACTGAACACTTGATATTCCCTTTTTACTGTGTTGACGTTATAAAAGCATACATTTAAATGAATATTATTAAATTTTGAGATCTCCTTCAATTGATTGCATTTTGGAACTGGGCAGTTCTTTTTAAAATACCTAATATTAACCCCTCTCTTGTGGAAACAAGTAGACTGAAGAATAGAGAAATGAATTTTACTTGCCTAGGTTAGTTGTAGTTGGCTGACTTGTGGATCCTTTGATTCCTGACATTGCTTTTCATTCTATGGCCTTGGTTCAGTGTCTTTTTATAACATTGGTAGATAGGCAGACAAACAGAAAGAGATTTTTTCTTCATTAGGCTCTTCTGGCCACAGTTTTAGAATGTCAAATTTACATTTCATGATTTAGCATGAAACTTTTAGGGAAGGGTTTTTATTAAGCTTAATATTTGTAAAATGTATATGTTAGGTGTAAGGTACTCTTCTAGATCTGGAGTGGTTATTCTGTAACTATAACTTCAGAAAGCGAGCAGGGTTAGGTAGGAACTAAACACAATGGTGTTTTCTTTAGAAGGTGATGAAGCAGGAACTAGAGCACTTCTTGAGGTAGGGTGGTCAGGTAAAGGCATCTTGGAGGAGGTGACATTTGAAATTGAAGTTAAGTTACATATTTGAAGAACCAGGTAAGAGGATTTGAGACAGAGGAAACAGCAAGTGCAAAGCTCTTAGGGAAGAGTAAACTTGTGTTCACAGCAAAAAAAAAGGCCGGTGTGACTGGAGCATACTGAACCATAGGGAAAGCCTGAGAGGTGGCAAGAGAGAGAACTCTTAGTACTCTGTGGACCAAGCTAAGGAGTTTGCATGTTATCATATTAGCAACGGAAGGAACTATGTAAAGAAGACTGAATGAGAGAAAGAGTAAAGTAAAGCAACGGGAGACTCATATGGGAACTATCGCTGTATTTTAGTCAGGAAACGATGGTAGCTTGGACATGGGGGAATAATTGTGGCAATGGAAACATTTTGTTTGGATTTATACACTTACCTCTCTTATGAAATGCTAAGGTTAGTAAGAATAGGGAGGATATTTTTTTCTATTTTTGCTCCATTCACATTTAGCATATGGTCATACTCCTCATACCCTGCAACAAGCGCCTGTTGAACTCAGTTAAAAATAGTCTCATTCTGATATGGGATGTAGGTTCCCAACCATTGAAAGGATGTGTCCTTTGAATTTTTGTTGCCTTTTTGTCCAAGAAGATTGATACCATGCGAATCATCATCCCAGTTTTGACTTACTAGTTATGTATTTTGTTACGGTGTTTATGCACAGTTTGAATAATTAGTTGCACTTCCTCAGCTTAAAAATAAATGTTTAAATGAAACACATGTGTTGTTTTGAGCCTTTGAAAAAGTCTTTTGCCTGTGCCAATGAAAACTTGATGATCGGTGAGTGTTGTTCTATTGGAAATTCGCTCTTCTGGGTGATTTTATGTTTTTGGTGTGCTTGTTAGTGATAATGATTTGTAAAATGTTGTCTATTTGGGAGTAAACAGAGGGAATTTTAGGAATTTATATTGGCTGCAATGAATTTTAAAAGGCATTTCATAGAAACTATTGCAAACTATTGCTTATTTTTTACGTTCACTCTGTGTATGTCTGGGGGATTGCATCGCAGTTTGCCTTTTTTTCTTCAAGTTGGTTTTCAAGATACTTAGGCAGGTGTGTAAAATTGGTTCACTAAATGTGTTCGATGTAGGGCTCTGTGAAACTTTTAAAGAGCCCTGGTGGCACTGTGGGCTAGACATTGGACTGCTAGCCATAAAGTCCGAGGTTCAAACCCACCAACCACTCCATGGGAGAAAGGTGAGGCTGTTTGCTCTTGCACAGACTGACAGTCTCCCATTCCCTATGCAACTCAATAGCAGCAGTGGGTGTGGTGAGACCTTTAGCTCCTGGGATTTAGATTTGTTATCTGTAAAGTGAAAGGGTTAATAAGGACTTTGAAATATTTTCTAGCATTCAGATTTCACGTGTCTCTAATATATTCTCACTTTCTGACTAGTCTCCTATCGGACATTATAAGGAATGTTATAATATTGTATTCACATTTTATCAAGTTTACAGGATTTTCACATGTGCATATAAAGCAAATTATATAAAGCTTTTATGGGATTTATTTTATGACTCTCAAAAGTAAGAACTGAGCCTTGCTGTCTCATGTGAATGTATAATGCAAATGGCTCTCTGTCATGCAGCTAGAA